GGGAGGGGAGGACGAAGAACAGGGAGGGTGACCTGGGCTTGGGGCGCGTGCCGGGCCCTGACCCGGGACTGGAGTGAGTACAGGATGGCGGGGTGAGCAGAGTGATGGCCGATGAGGCTGGAAAGGGGGACTGGGGCCAGGATGTACCAGACCGTGAATGCCACCCTGAAAGACCTTTATGCTTAGAGAATGAGCCCCCCTGAGAGTCACAGTGGGGTCTTTAGTGCCCCTTGGCTCAGCCCCCTCCTCACTGGTTCTCAGTCCTCACACCCTGGCCCCCCGACCCTCGCACCGGATAACCTGCCCCGTCCGCAGAGAAGACCGGGGCCACCCACGCCGCTCCCCGGCCACCCCTTCCTTACCTCTAGCTTTTCTGGAAGAGTCCTGAGGGTAGGCCACGCGTTAGCGGAGCCGCGGGGAGCTGTCTAGGGGAGGCTGGGCCTCGAGGCCTTGGGAGGCATGCATCAGTCGGCTGGAGCCGACTGGGTTACGCTCACCCCTCCCTCCTGGCACTTCCCATCCCCCCCCTCACCTGCTCCCCCCTCCCTGTCGGAAACAAAATGTAGAAGACCTCTGCCTCCGCCCCCCACCAAGTATCTGCTCGCTTCCCGTCCCAGCCCAGTCTCGTCCGCCGTCCCCCCCTCTCCTGGCCCTGCCCCACTGGTTTCTGTTGGCCGAAGAGAACGCCCATCAGCCCCCCAACCCGGCAGCTTGCCTGCAGGGTGGCCATGCCCCCCCTCGCCTGGCTTCCCCGCACCCCTGTGCGCCCTCCTCCTGCGGTGCCCCATTCTTGCGCCCTCCGGGCCTTTCCCAGGGCTCTCAGCCCCCACCCCTGCCAGCTCTGCCCTCCACTCCCGCGTGGGGAGGGCTTCGGGGGCCCCCCTGCCTGTTACACGGACGTCCGCACCTGTGGCCAGGACAGCGTCGTCACCTGGCGCCCTCGGCGGGCCTGCGGGAGGGCCTGCCGGGGGCCGGGCCGACCCGAGCCGGGCTGAGGACGGAGGTGGATCTAGAGCGTCCTCGCGGCCCGCGGCGGGTGGTGCGGAAGGAGCCGGGGGCCGGGAGGACGACGAGTTGGGGGGCTGGGACAGGGGCCCTCAGGGACAGCGGGTAGTGGCCTACACCAGGACAAGGGACGCTTGCACAGGAGACCCTGCCAGGCCGGGGAGGAGCCCGGCCAGGGCGGGGAGCGAGGTAGGGGTGAGGCCAGAGAGCCCCGCCGCAGGACTGCGTGTGTCCGCTGCGGGACAGCCGGACGCACCGTGGTCCCAGCTCCGGCCCCTGCCGCCGGCTGCCCCTTCCACGTGGCCGGAGGGCCCGGCCCGCAGCGCAGCGTCCGTCCCTGGCGCCCTTGAGAGCGCCGCCCTGGGACTCCGGGCCTCCCAGCTCGCACCTCCCACCCCTGCCCCCGCCCTGCCCGTCTCACTGGGGTGATGACGCCTCTGCGCCGGTGCAGCCAGCTCCCACCCCTGCACTCGGGCGCTGCTGGCATCCTGGGCACGGCCGGCTTCCTCACTGGCCGGGGCCCCAGGAGCCGGGCCCACCCTAACTGTCTGGGCAGGGGGGCTGCGGGGAGCAGCGGCCAGCGTGTGTCATCTGCGTCCTCGGCCCGGGCCCGTAGACAAGGCAGCAAGAAGGGCCTGGGTTTGGCCCTCCGGCCTGGCAGCTAGCCGCCTGTTAGCCATGAAGGCCGGGACGTGGGGAGGCGGCTGTGCTGCCCCCCGCCCCCATGGCCTTCTCCCTGCGCAGCCCGAGCCGTGCCCGAGACGTAGACGCCCCCTCCGCGCCCGCAGCAGGCCTTGCGGTGAGCCCGCGGGGACCAGGACACCCCAAAGGACAGCCAGACGGGCGTGGGGGAGACGCTGCGCACAGCGGAGGCCCGGGGAGGGGACCCACAGACACGCGGACCGGACACGCGTGGGCGGGGGAGACGTGTGCACCGGGTGCCTGTAGACGGATGTGTGAGTTCGTGTCCACGCTTCAGGGGAGGGAGCGAGCGAGCTGCACGCCCAGCTCACGCCCAGAGAGGGCAGAGATACAGAGACTGTCTCTCCCCAGCCTAGGCGCACCCAGGGGTGGGGGAGGGGGTGGCACCCGTCCAGAAGGTGGAAGGAGGGAGGGACAGACCCATTCCAGCCCATAATAGGCTGCCGGAGAGACACTGACCTTGGGGGCGGAGGAAAAACACGTACCCCAGGAAGGTAGGCCAGAGTCACACTTACACCGGGACGTGAGAGGAGACACAGCCCACAGGGTCGTGAGAGGCGCATCACACTTAGCATCCTGGATGGGAGGGGCGTCACCCCCGTGCCCGGAAGGAGCTAGACACAAACACAGGCACCCGCAGAGCGGGACAGACCCCCCCCTCCCCGGGTTAGAGGTGAGACAGACTCCCTCCCAGAGGGAAGAGAAGGACCCCCCCCAGGGATGCCCAAACACACACAGCAGGAGAGGGGAGAGAGACACCCCCCCGCCCCGGGAAAGCAGGACAGTAGACAGATGCAGACGAGCACTGGCACCCACATGCGAGTGCGCTCACACAGACGCACACCCGCAGAGGGAGCCACACGTACGTCACACATCCCAGGAGGGCAGAGAGGCAGCCGTGCGCGGCGGTGAGACGGACTCCACAGGGGAGAGCCCCGCCGTCCCCACTGTCCGGTCCCGGCGCCACCGCCGCACCCCGACTCGGGGCAGGTGCGTGCTCGCTGCGCCTCCCGGTCCCGGGGAGGAACGTGTTCCGACGCCCGCACTGCGTTTCCCGGAGGACGGTCTGTACGTGGCCGCGGAGGGCACCTGAACTCCAGTCTGTCCCCTTCAGCTCACACGTCTCTGGAAGGGTCACACCTTACTGCTTGCGCCCCCAGTTAACATACTGCAACGAGCGGACATTTGCACAGTTCCGAGTAAAAGGTGCACGATCATCACAGCCACGCTGGGAGTCCGTATAAAGGGCAGCGTCGGCAGTGGACTTGGGAAGCCTTCGGCTCAGCGCGCACCCGAGGCCGCTACCTGAAGCACCAACCCCAGCCCACCATGCCCTTGGCTTCCTGAGCCCTTCAGCTCGCAGGTCTCTTTTCCCCCCTCACGCCTGACTCAGCGGTTCTTCTGTGCCCCCGGAGTCCTGCGTTAGTGCCCGTGGTCTAGCCCCTGGCCTACAGCCTGCTTGACTTGCGCTCGGGGACCCCCCCCCCCCCCCCCCCCCCCCCCCCCCCCCCCCCGTCCCCGTAGCTTCACGCAACAGGTGCTGGGCAGGCTTTGCGAGGCTTGCGCGCTACCACTTGGAAGTGGAGGCCGCGTGACCCCTGTGGCCTCACCTACCCAGAGCTCCTCAGGGGCCCCTCCCCCTCTCCGGTCCCCTCTTGCGCAGGAAGCCGGGCCTCCAGACTGCAGGACGCCGTGTGTCCTTAGAGCTGCAGGCAGGGGCCTGGACAGGCTGTCCCCGGCTGCTGGCAGTGGCTCTGGGCTTCCTCGTGGCGGTCACCCGTCCAGCCGTCCTGAGACGCCGAGGCTGGACCTCATCATGGCCCCGCCAGCCCCACTCTGCCCGCCGCACCTCCCTCCCTGCCCACGCTCACTCCTGTGCTGCCCTGGCCGCGTGGCCGGTGGCCCGGGCAGGCTGGCTGGCTGCCGCGGGGAGGGACGTGGTGGCCGGCGGCCCTGCTGCGGAGCCGGGGACTGGGGGACGTAGCTCACTTCTGGAGCAACAGTATCCCCCTGATACTGTGAGGTGCTTTACTCTGTGCCCGCTGGCCTGCACGCTTACCTACAGGGGCCTTTTTAACGCTCCCAACGACTCCGACCCCCACTCAACAGAGGAAGACAATGAGGCTCAGAGAAGTCCAGTATCTAAGTATTAGATGGTGCCTGAACAAGATTCTCAGCAAAAATACCTGGTTCCCATAAGTGCTCAAATGGCTTTTGTTTTCTAAGCAACCCTGTCCACTCTGTTCTATGAAATTCTAGCTAATAATGATGCCTATGATAATAGTTGTCATAGAACTCGCATCTCTAATAATCTGAGAGTCTACTAACAGACAAATATTAATCTGTTACATAATTAGTACTTCCTTTATATTTACATTCTATTTTGTTATTTAATAAAATAGAAATGTTTAATATTTTGTGATCCGATGATTAATACTAATCTATTAACAGTTAGTAGACTAATAGGGATTCTAATTAGAATTTGTAATAGACATTAGATAAGTGCCCTGAGTTCACTGAGGAAATGGAGTCTATCAGATATGCCCTATCTACAGTCCATCCTCTGACCACAAACCTTATTTGCACCCTAACCCCTTCTCCTCTTGCCTGGTGGGAAGCTCGCTCTCCTGCCCATGGCTCACCATCTCTTTTCCTGTCCCCTTGACTATGGAAATGTGTGCCCCGCATTGGCTGTTTTTCTTCAGCTGGTGGACACGTTCAGGGCTCTCCAAGCCCTCACGTGACTTTACCACCTCCATCCAGCCTTCCTCTTTTTTCCGCAGACCCTGCCTGCACACGTACCCCCATCCCCATTGCCAAGTCCAGCAGAGGCTTCCCCCATGCCTGGTCTGTCGTTCCATGACACAGAGCCCTTCTGCTTCCATTACTGCCACAGGCCACCGTGTTCACCCACCTCCCAGCCCGACACAGTTCCCTGATCCTGTGGGCCAATTTATTCTCCACCCCTCGTAGAGCTAAAAATTACCCGCTCATTGTCTGCGAAGTAATTATTTGAAAACCTAAATGTTAAAAACCCTCTCCCAGATGATTTGTTTCTAAGAAATAATTTATATAATTGAAAGGCCGTGACTAAAGATCCTAGTTACGGTGTTACGTTTACATACAAGCACAAGGAAATCCCCGGCTTCAGTTGAGTTGTGCACATCAGTTGAATGGCCTGTGACCTTTGTGGTAGAGCCAGGCTTTCAGGAATGAGCATGCGCATTCCTTAGTTCCCAGAAGTTGTGAGTGGCATAAACTACACGTAAATAACTTCTGACTTTGTCACTGTCCACCGGTTTTTATTAAGCACTCATGCAGTTTGTAACACATCACATATGGTTTTTACCATGTAAGTTATGTGTGGTGCTGCTTTTAGAGAATTTCTTAAACGTTTTATTATAGAATACTTGAGGTACACACAAGCATCGAGGCTAGAATGATCCTCATATTTCCATAACCAGGTTCAACAGTTACCACTTCAGTAGGTAGTCCTAATTTGTCTGTCCCCTACCCCTGTGTACCTCTTCTGTGGACTCTCTTGATGCAAAATTATTTCATATCATTACATTTTTTTCGGTGAATTTCCAAAACATACAGACTCTTTCTAGAGACAGCACAATACGATGATCACACCTCAAAACAACATCTTAACATCGTCAAATATTTAGAAATGTTCAAATCCCTACCGTTGTGTCCATATTTTTTTAACAGTTTGCATGACCCATAGGGTCCATATCTACAGGGAGCTGATAACATCTCTTAAATCTTTTCTGACCCACTGGTTACCCCTTCCCTTTGTTCACCCTTAAAATGTACTTGTTGAAGAAGTGGGGTCTTCTTGGTGTGGTTTAGATAGTCCTATAGAATTTCCTGCAGGTCTGTTGCTTGTTAACTGCATCCCTTTAGGACTGCCTGACATGCTTCAGTGGCCCCTCATTTTACGTAAGATTCAGGTGCTGCTCTTACCTCCAAACATGTTAGAGTCACCTAGAAAGAAAAGTAGGAAGGGTTGAATTTGTGGAAGAAGTAAATATTACGTTAAGTGCTATAAGCAAGAATACCATGCATGTATGTTGAGTAAATGCAGACATTGGATTCTTTCTGACGTAATATTAAAAGTTCATATCATCAGGTGCGCCTGGGTGGCTCAGTCAGTTAAACGTCCGACTTTGGCTCAGGTCATGATCTCATGGTTCATGGGTTCCAATCATAAATGATTCATAAAATCATAAATGATTTTTTAGATGTTTTATTTATTTCTGAGAGAGAGAGAGAGAGACAGCGTGAGCAGGGGAGGGTCAGAGAGAGAGGGAGACACAGAATATGAAGCAGGCTCCAGGCTCTGAGCTGGCTCTGAGCACAGGGCCCGACGCGGGGCTTGAACCCACGAGTCGTGAGATCATGACCTGAGCTGAAGTCGGACGCTTAACTGGCTGAGCTCCCCTGGTGGCCCCCCACCAAAAAAAAGTAAAAAAAAAAAGTTTACATCATCAAAATGTTAAATATGAACAGGTAATTTTTTTTCTTTAAACCATATAGGTAATACCTTTGTAAGCCAAATTGAGATCTTCTTTGCTTTATATCCTACTTTTTGAAAACCTAGCATCGTGTGAAGGTTATCTCCCATGTACTTGCACATTATTTCTACGTATTCCTCACAAGCTAGCTGCTTGTGAGTCAGCACCATGATTTATTTCACCTTGTCCTGGTATTGACTGTGCAGCTTATTTTGAGCCTTTAAAGAAGCAGTGACAAATGGCCTTGCGCATAAACCTTTGTGTGCACCTTGCGTTATTTTTTTCAGATAAGTTCTTAGGTGGGAAATGGGTGGAGGAAAATAATGCTTTCCTTGGCTTGGCAACTGCATGGCCAGTTTGACCTCCAGGAGGACATCTTCAGTTATTATTAGCACATGGGAGTGCCCACTTCCTTAACTCTCCCCAACATAGGCCTTGACCACTTGGAGAAAGCTTGCTGCTGTCTGTGCTTTTTGATTTTTCTTGTGCATATTTATCTTTCATATGTTTTCTCCTCCGATCTGCCACCGCTTGCCGCCATTGTTATACTTGCCTTTGACAGCTGAGACCGCTCATGTTCCCTGTGCCAGAAATCCCAGTACCCCGACTTGTTCTCATTTTGCCTGAGAGCTTGGCACCAGATGGGGGCCATCGTAAAGCACATGAAGGGTGTGGATTCATAATCTCTACTTTGGCTGTTCAGAGCCCTATTCCTCCTTTCCGGTTCTTTTCCCCCCAGTTTTAGATCATTGACATTGCAGGATAAGTGAAAGTAGATTCCTCCTACAAGTGCAAGTTACAGTGAAGGGAAAAAAACTCACTTGCCAAATTCGGAACTAATCAGAATTTTCAACACAAATAACTTAAGGAAGTGATTATTCACATTACCTAACTTCTTTCTTAAAAAACAAGGATTCAAACTGGCACCTCTGTTGGTACTTTTAAATATTAACTGGGGCCGGGGTGGGGTGGTCAACTGAGAAATCTAAATATTAGGAAGGTTCAAACCTTGTAATCAAGATTCTCTGACACTATTGTACATACTAAAACTGCGTCACATTTGCATTACGACTTCCGGAGTGTCATCACTTCACGCTGCTCACCTCTGTGAATCTGAGCCCTGGGGTGAGCCTCGCTGACCACAGCTTGGGTCCCCTTCACTCCACTTACCGCCTTTGCTGCTGGACCCTGTCTTCTCGCACTGTGGACGCTCTCCACCTCTCCTTTTCTCTAGGTCTCTGTTCACTTGCTCTCTGCTGCCCCGGCTTGTTCTTGCTAGTGCTCCAGAACGTTCTACCATATCGCCTGCCCACATTCCCAGCTTAGTACTCCCAAGCCTGGAAGAATCAATCCTCCCTCCTTGCTGCTGCTTTTCCTGGGCTTCCCGATGGACAGCCATATCACCAGGTGATCTAGAAGCGGCATGTGTAAAGTGGTCCTGAAACAACAGCGAGAGCCCAAAGCCTGTCAGGATTTGGGCCCAGGTTCCTCTCTGGCTCCCTTCCCATTTGCACCCCCACAGCACCAAACTGCAGTTCCTCAGGCTCATCAGTGTGGTTTCACATGGCCACCCTCATGCCATTTCCACTGCTGGAATGTTCTTACCTCCTTCTGCCCACCCACTCAGGGCCTGTTCGTCGTTGAAAGTCATGCGCAGGCATTCCGCCTCTGTGAGGCAGTGCTGGTTCCCGTCTTCTCTGTCCCCCCCCCCCCCGTGTGCTGTGTGGCCTTTGGGTCAGCATCTGCACGTAGCCTGTCCTCCTGGAACGGCTCTTGTGCCTTGGGCCTCATCCCACTAACCCATGGTCCTTTCCCTCATCCTGTCAACAGATAAACGGGCCAGGCCTCTGCCAGCTTCAGAGCAAACACAGCGACAGAAAGCTCACCCTTCTCTGTACCTTCCCCTTCAGCTGATACCATTTCTCTAAAGAGCTTCGAGCCTCAGATTTCTTGCCTCGCACCCCTTCCTCAACCTCAGCGCTCCATGCTAGTTCCTCCATCTCCTGAAATAGTTCTTTCCAAGACTGCTAAAAACCTACATGTCTCCAGATCAAAAGAGAGTAGAATTTAGTTCTTCCTTTGACCGCCGTCTCCATGAATCCCTCTCTTCCTTTTGCTTTTCGGACTTCCAGCTACCTGGTTTTTCCTCCTGTTCAGTGGGGTTCCTCCCACCCTCCACTGAGGAGCCTCTTCCGTCCATTCTGTGAGCAGTACGGGTCCTCCTAGGCCCCTCCCCACGCTCCTTCTCCCGAACACCCGTGTGTCATGAGCGCTCTCGCTCCTGTGTCTCTGTCTCAGGCCATCGTCAGCTCTCATCCTTCCCCTGCCCTTCAAAGCCTGTGCTGGTTCTCCCTTGTCTGTTAAACACACGGCCATTCAAGGGCTTCGTGCTGTTGGTGTTCTGCAACATTAGTCCAGCTCTTCAGTGCCGATGACTGTGGTGTGTGCTTCGCGTGTGATATCGGATCCCATCTATCCCTCAGAGCGACCCGTCGGGTCTAATGATCTCCCTTTTCAGCTGAGGGAACCCCCGCTGCAAAAAAGTCAGTCATTTTTTTCCCCACGGCATCGCAGCTGGTGCACTTGACCCCTGGTAACCACCAGACAAGGGTGCGTCCACAGACACAACGGAGTCTGACCTCACCCACAAAAGTGCCCTTTCCCCCCATGCCTGGCTTCCTCCAGCCCTTTCACAGCCTTCTGGCCCCTCTCAGCCCACCTTTCTACAGCCTCATTTCCCGCTCCCTTTCTTAAGCCACCATCAGCGCCAGCCAAGGGAGAAATAACTGCCCTTGCAAAGGCCCCGCCCTCATCCCCTGACCTGCCCCTCCCGTGGCGGCTGCACCCCACCTCCCAGCCCCCCTTGACATCTCCACGTCTTCTCTCTCTCCACTCACTTGTTCTTCCTCCCCAAGTGTTCCTCTCCAAAGCTCGAGTGGGTCTTTTGTCTCTGCGAATTCCCGTTATTCTTAATCTATCCTTATTTTAGGGCATCTTCTACCTTCTATGTTGTGTTATCAGTACTTAGAAATACTCTCTGGGGACACCTTCCCTTCTAGAGTGACACACTACTTGATGGTGACTAAGTAAATTTTCTGTTTTCCGTGGCAGTTGAACTAGGTGATGGAGACGTATTGATCCAGAACTTTACTCTTCTACAGCCCATTCCTGGAGGGAGGGAGACTCTAATGGCCTATTGAGGAAGACGAACTTGCTAGACACGACCACAAGGTGGCACAGTGACTACAGTGTCCTGGTCTCTGTTGAGGGTGGGCCGAGAAGGAGAGCAAGGTGTTCCCGGTTGCCAGATCCTCCAGGGAAATCCGAGAGAATTTCCAAATTTTAAATATTCAGTCAACTCTGAATCATTCACAAAGGGAACCAGGTAGGTTGGGCAACTGTTTTCTTCCACGTTTGGCCAGCAGAATGGAAACCTTCCCTCCCTCCCTCCCTCTTTTCTCTTCCTCCTGCTGTTCGTTCAATAAATATTTGAGTATCCCCTTCTGCTTCCACTGTTCTAGATATCAGGGCCCTGGAAATGGACAGTAAAGAGCAAGATCTCTGGTGTGATGGGGCTTCTTCTGTAGGCTTCGCCGGAAGATTCTGGAGACAGACTCCAGAGTTTCTTTGCTATTTTATTGATACTCTCCCCCTCTGGGAGAGTATCACTTATTTTATCACTTTATTGAGTCACTTCTCCCCCTCTGGCCCAGTATGGACTGATTGGTAGCTTTATGTTACCCGAATGAAATTCAGTGTAAAAAGCAAAAGGACCACAAGTCTGTGTATCGTTGTGACCAATTCTGTTTTAGCCATGATTTTCTGTGACCTTCTACCTTACTTTCTGGATATCCTGCTTAATCAAGAATTGACTATGTTCACTTTGCAGTTAAAGATACTGAGGTTCAGGGGTGCCTGGGTGGCTCAGTCGGTTAAGCGTCTGACTTTGGCTCAGGTCATGATCTCATTGTTCGTGGGTTCGAGCCCCGCGTCGGGCTCTGTGCTGACAGCCAGCTCGGAGCCTGGAGCCTGTTTCTGATTCTGTGTCTCCCCTGTCTCTGACCCTTCCCTGCTCACGCTGTCTCTCTCTCTCTCTCAAATAAATAAAACATTAAAAAAAAGATACTGAGGTTCAGAAAGGCTAAAACATGCAATTCGCATAGGCAAATACATGGAAAAATACATACTCAGGTCTCTGTACCATTCATTACCTTCTGATCAAAATCAATGCCAGTAAAATTTAAAACAGGTGCCTGGGTGGCTCAGTCCTGTCAGTTAAGTGTTTGACTCTTGATTTCGGCTCAGGTCACGATCTCATGGTCTTGAGAGCGAGCCCTTCCTTCATTGGGCTCTCCTCCGAGTGTGGAGCCTGCTTAGGATTCTCTGTCTCTTCCTCTCTCTCTGCCCCTCCCCCGCTCACATGCACTCTATCTCAAAATAAATAAACATTTTTTAAAAATTCTAAAAAACCAAACAAGTCCAGTATTGTGGCAGGTACCTATAGAGAAATTTGACACAAACGGCATTGTTGCCAAAGGTACTGTTTGCCAAAGTGGACCTAATATAAATTTGTTTAGTTCAAATTGCATCTGGTGTTTAGAAACATTTCTTCCGCCAAGGGGTAATAAGCAAGAGTGTAAAAGTAATACAAGCACGACCATTTGGAAATCTCAAAAAATACACCCTACTCGTTTTAAAACTGGGAGAAGTCACCATCCACTAGAGCAGCCTCCTTTGTGGTGTGTCATAGTTGAGTGCTCATTTTGTCCCCAGTATTGGATCCCCGTCACCTCCCTGTGCCTCCCCTCCATACCTAATACCTCCACCAGCCCGACTCTGCAAGACAGGATTCGTTTTCACACTCCTCTTGCCAACCCTTGCTTCAGTTTCAGGAGGATGAGGGTAGGGAATTAATCTGAGATGCTCTGTGAAAGAGACAGTCCAGTATAGAAATCCCAGTGTGGAATTTCTGTTCACCATTGGTGTACTTCGATGGAGCACATTTTTTCCCTGATATGTAGCTATTTTCTCTGACTTGGGGTAATCTTTATATTTTCAGAGGTGCAATCTAATCTTTTACCACAGTTAAGCCACGGGCAAGGATCGGTCCATCCCTGGGTGGTCACGATCACGTATTACCAAATCAACATTCAGTTCCACACACAATGACTGTGGGCTCCACGTGGATTGGTTTTGTTTTAGCTGCGATTTGGGGTCACCTGTGACTGACCACCATAACACTGAAGCTACACACCGCCTGTGTCACAGAGATGAGAAGATTAAGAGCATACCACTCACCAAACGTCACTTTCAGTATTCATCTGGCATCACAGCTGTGCGTGACGTCCTCTTTGCATGGAGTTTTGCCGTTGTTTGTCCTTCAGAGATTCTCTTGGCTGTGATTCTGCAGGAAAAATGAAAACAAAAACAAGACCCCTTATTTTTAAGTGCACATCAGGCCATTTGGGGGCGGCACTTATTTCTGAACAACACACTGAGTATCACGGCTTTGCATTTTGAACCCCCAAAATTAAGCCAGAGACTTTACATACGTGACCCCGTTGACTTTTCACTGCAAGGTAAGTGCGGAGTCCCACCTTGCAGAGGAGAATGCCTAAGAGCCACTATGGTGTCGGAAGTTACATTTAGACGGACGCTCAGGCAAACGCGAGTCAGTCGCCTCTGTGCACCGTCGCCTACTCCGCCGTCGGCGCCGTGACTTGGTGCAGGCGTTTGCAGCGTGAAGACCGTTGCCAAACCGTACCATTCGGATTGTGGGAGGGCAGCCTTTCCGTAATCCAGGTGCACGTGGGAGCGGGGTGCGTCCTGCAGAGGAGAAGGGGCGGCCCCCATCCTGGTTTGGGGCTTCAGCAAGACGACCTGAGGCCTCACCTTGAAGGCTCTCAACCCCTTTTTGTTAATTACGTGTTGACAAACACTGCAAAGCCTTCCTAAATGAGTTTATAATTCCGGAAGGTCACATTTCTTGGTTAAAAGGTTCATAACCTAAATAAAAACTGAAAGGAGAATCCACACTCCGTTCTGCTTCAGAAAGGAGCAAAAGCACAGGAAGATCGGTTGTCTTCCGAATCATCTCGAAACATGGCGGGCGACGGGAGAGGGGGCAGCAAATTGTACAGGTGGCTGCACTTAGGATGATTCGTACATCAATCGGAATAATTTAATACTGTTCACCCCTTGGGAACATGACTCACACAAGGCTCCTCCACGCGTCGCCAGTCTCCCAGGCCCGGCGCCTGCCTCTTGCTGTGGCTCCAAAAATAATAAATTGCCTCACGTTTCCCAGACCCACCATGCGGTTTCTGACCCCCTCTACCTGCCCACCTGCCCAAGCAAGGCTAATCCTTGTTCTTTGCATATCTGGGCCCCAGTGTTAACATCGTTTTTTTTTTAATTAATCAAACGCAAGCCTCCCAATTAGCATGGCACTTCTTGTAAGGCTACCACTAATTAACATATTTAAAAGGTCCGTACAGAGGCTGCATTGAATCGGTTCAGTGGGTACTTCCTTTGGTATTTGATAAATGGAACTTATCCCAGAACTATTTAGTATTTGTGGGTCTCAGTCCCAAACAGAGTGTATTCCTGGAGCCTGTAAATCATGTCGTATGATGGGCCAGCCTCTAAAGCAACAGGTGAACCTCCCCGGCTTCCTCCACGGGCAACAGCTGAGAATGTGGCTCCCAAAGCAGCGGAGACGTATCCTTTCTAGTAAGGACTGAATGTGGCTCTTACATTGAAGCCAATATTCCTGTGTTTCTGCCCCCCACCCCCCATGGGAAGGGAAGATTTTAGTCATTTTGAGTCATTGCCCTTATAAAGGATTGTAGCTTATCAGCTCACAGAAAGTGATGTGCTTTGGTGTTCTGTTTTGTTTTGGCAAATGTCAGTAAATTGACATGAAGATTTGTGTGTCATCCTCAGTAATCTGGTTCTTCTCAATATGAAAACCTGGGCTTTTTATCTAGCTTATTGAGAGGTGTGATTGAGATTTAATAAACTGCGCACATTTAACGTGTATCATCTGCCAAGCTGTGACACCGGTCCACCTTCCTAAAACCTTCACCACGACCAACATAGCGCACATAGCCGTCATTCCGAGAAGTGTACTCATGTCCTTTGGTGAGCTGTCCCTCCCAGGCCCCCCTCCTGTCCCCAAATAACCACTGAGCTGCTTCCTGTCACTACAGATTTGTTTGCATTTCCTAAACTTTATATAGAAGGAATCATTTCATATATACTTTTTTCTGTCTGACTTCTTTCATTCAGCATAACTATTTCCAGGTTCCTCCATATTACTGTGTGTATTAATAGTTCCTTCCTTTCTATGGCTGATGAGTAGTCTGTGACATGAATCTGCTACAACTTGCTTATCCACTCAACATATTGATGGGCATTGGGGTCATATCTAGGGTTTTTGTTTTGTTTTGTTTTACTGTTACAATTAAAGCTGGTCTGAATATCCGTGTATGAGTCTTTGCATCGATTCAGGTTTTCCTATCTCCTGGTAAAGACGTAGGTGTGAAATGGCTGTGTCGTATGGTAGACACATGTTCAACATTTTAAGAGACTGCCAGACTTTTTAAAAGTGATTTCATTTTTTTTTACCTTCTTGCTGGTCGTAGGGGTTCCGTTTGCTCTCCATCGTCACCAGTACTCGGTGCAGTCAGATTCATTTTAGTCGCCCTAGTGGGGTAGATGGCACCGTCTCACTGAGGTGCGGATTTGCATTTATGTAAGGACCCATGATGTTGAGCCTATTTTCATGTGCTTATTTGCCATCCATATATCTTCATTGGTGAGATGTCCATTCAGATATTTTCCCATCCTTCAATTTCGTTGTTTCTTATTGTCGACTTTTGGAAGTTCTTAGTATATTCGGGGGATAAGGTCTTTATCAGATTTAGGCTTTGCAAGGATTTTCTTCTAGCGGCTCATCTTCTCATTTTTTGAACATTGTCTTTTGAAGAGCAGTCTTAAATCTTGATGAAATCCAGTTTATTGAGGTTGTTTTATAGGTTGAGGCTTCAATGTCATAGCCAGGGAAGTTTTGAGTAACTGAATGTCACAAGTTGTGTTTTATCCCAAAATTTTTATAGTTGTAGAGTTTACATTGGGGTCCATGGTTCATTTGGAGTTATGTTTATATATAGTGTGAGCAGTTCTTGTTGTTGCTGTTAATGAACACAAACTTTTCCAGCAACGTTATTTGAAAACCCATTCTTTTTGGTAAAATATTTTTTAATACAAAAGTAGGACATTTGTAAAATACAGAAGAATATAAAACCTATATCTTGCTAATGTTTAAAAATAAATTACCTAGATACATTTAGGGATATTATGGGGGGAGCAGTTCTAACTGTTTAAGCGTCTACTTTACAAGATTGGAATCATAGTATATTCTCTGTCTTGCTTTTTAAATGCATCATATCAGTGTTTTTCCTGTGTGATTTAATATTCTTTAAGTGCCTGGTTTTTAATGGCTACATAGTTATTCTGTCACATAGACATATACTTTACCCCTTTTATTAGACATTATCAATTTTTATTCTTAAAATATACTTTGAGCATGCTTACACTTAAATCTTTGTCTCTCACCTTTCTTTTTTCTTTTTTTTTTTTTTTTGCTTACATTTTTAGAAACGATTCACAAGGTCAGCATATATGAACATTTAAAAGGCTTTGAGGGGCGCCTGGGTGGCTTAGTCGGTTAAGCGTCCGACTTTCGCTTGGGTCATGATCTCGCCGTTCGTGGGTTCGAGCCCCGCGTCGGGCTCTGTGCTGACTGCCAGCTCAGAGCCTGGAGCCTGTTTCAGTCTGTGACTCCCTCTCTCTCTGACCCTCCCCTGCTCACGCTGTCTCTCTCTCTCTCCTAGAAATAAATAAAACATTAAAAAAAAAAAATTAAAAAAAAAAAAAAAGGCTTTGATTACATATTCCCACAATGTAGTCCAGAAAATGTTAATGGTCTACACTCCCACCAGCAACTACTAAGAAAGTTAATCCTTATGGCAAACTTTGCTTGTTTTCTTTCTTTTTTTTTTTTTTAATATTTTTATTTATTTCTAGGAGAGAGAGAGACAGTGTGAGCAGAGGAGGGTCAGAGAGAGAGGGAGACACAGACTCTGAAATAGGCTCCAGGCCCCGAGCTGGCAGTCAGCACACAGCCCGACGCGGGGCTCGAACCCACGAACCGCGAGATCATGACCTAAGCGGAAGTCGGATGCTTAACCGACTAAGCCACCCAGGCGCCCCCTTTGCTTGTTTTCTAAAAGCATCAGGGATGCTGAGCGCCTGGGTCACTCAGTCAGTTAAGCGTCCGACTTCAGCTCAGGTCATGATCTCGTGGTTCACGTGTTCAAGCCCTGCACTGGGATCTGTGCTGACAGCTCAGAGCCTGGAGCCTGCTTCCGATTCTGTGTCTCTCTCCTTCTCTCGCTCTGCCCCTCCCCAGCTAGTGCTCGCTCTCCCTCTCTCTCTCTCTCTCTCAAAAATAAACATTAAAATAAGTTTTTAAAAAAAGAAGAAGCCCCTCTTCTCATCTGAGACAAACATGTCTCCATTTTCTCGGGCCCCCATTTGTTTTGTTCTTCCTGCGTCTTTATAAGCTCTCTCGGCACAGAAGCTATCCCAGGCCCCTCCCCCCGGACACCCCAGTCCCCCTTCGGTACCAGCCTTTCTCGGTACCAGCCTTTCTCGTCTCTTCCAGTGCACAGCTCTTTGGAAGAGAGCATCCTTTTGCTGGCAGTCATTTCCTTCTTGCTCAATTGGCCATCCACGTGGGGGTGTTTCTCCTTCCCCCTCCTTCCCCACCCTTCCCCTCCCTCCCACTCCACCCCCACAGCCTTTCTTGCTGAGGTATGGTGTCTTCATGCCTATGTGGCGAGCTACATTCTTAGTAGCTTCGTCTTTTGGGGGGGGGTGCCACCTTTTTCTTCCTTCTCTGCCCGTCACCTCTTTAAATTTCCTTGTTTTGTCTTAAAGTGGCAGTCTCTAGGCACCGACTCGAGTTCATCAGTAACGTGGTGTGAGTGTGTCTGTGTAAGAGTGAGCTGCACAGCCCTGCCCCTCCTTACCTCCTTCGTTACTGTGGTCAGGCACTTAAGGGCTTGTCCGCCCTCTTCTAGAAAATGCCTGTTTGTGCTGGTTTTCAGCTCTCTGCTTAGACTTCTCCAGCACCCGCGGCTGTGTCTCCTGTGCACACACTTGCCCTGTACTTTCTCACTTCCCTTCTTTTTCCTCTCTTCTCCCCCCGCCCCCACCTCTCCGAGTACTTGATCTCAGTGTCTCGTAACTGCCCCAGTTGTCGTTGGTAGTACGTGAGTGTACGAAGTCCCAGCCACTCAGGATTTAGTGCACTTCTCTCGTTAGATTCTTTACAGTGTCCATAAACCATACTGCACTCCAGCCGGGGCAGCATCTTAGTATATGTAATAAGCCGTGCTTCTAATCCAGGAATTCTGGCCGACTGGCATGCCCTACCCCTCCCCCCTCCCCCCCTTTCCTTATTGTACATTCTCGAAGGTTAACAATCACCCGAACTCTATTGTATGCTTTTCCTTTTCTGAGCCTCTTTGGTCCTTGTTTATACTATATAAACTATTGATTCATCCCTCTAATACCGCCTTCTGGCAGCTTTTATTTTGATTAGCAGTCACATGGCTTCCCTTGACATAAGGTATCTACCCCGTGGCTGCAGCTACCTTGTACACTTGAACAGG